ACCAAGATAATAAAACCTTTTTTTTCTTGACGTTAAAGGATAAACCTTTTGAGATAAACTCAACTGATTTTTGAAAAGGTCATAGCTTAGAAGTCTCATGCACTGACTCACAAAGAATACATAATTATCTTGTAAGCATTTTAGTTCAGCACTTGCTACAAGTACAATTGTGTCCTGTTTTACTGCTCTGCAAGTGTTTCCATAGAAAACCTTCCATTAGCCTTTTATAGATGGGTTGTTTGCTGCGGTTTGAACTGCCTGGCCTGCCAAGGGCAAACCTTTCCATCTCCCTCCCTTTTAAAGGAGATAATGATTCTCTTTTACTTGGAATAGGATTGTATTTTCTATCTTTCTCATCCTCTGATCTTCACTCACCTTTACCTTTCCAGCCGCCCGCCCCACCTTCCCCCGTCAGTCGTCCACCGTTGGCACTCCTTCCACAGTGATGCCGCTCTATCGCTCCGTCACAGCGCAGGCGAGGGATGAGAGACAAATCAAAACCGCCTTATTTCCCCCCCTCGGCCTCTCTCACCATGCCAGATTGAATTTGAGGCTTTTCATCTTCTTTCTCATCTTTCTCCTTCCCCTGCCTCCCTTGGCGTCCACTCAGAATTACCTGGAACCACAACAGCTTGATGACGTTTTCTCTTTTATTCAAGCGGAGGGAGATATTTGGCTTTTATTTTTTTGACTTGCTTTAAGTTCTCTACTTCTGTTATTTGGGTTCAAAAGTGGTCAAATCTTAGATCATGTCCCGCTTCTCAATGTTTCCACATGTGCGCAAATACCCAAATTAGTTCTGGCTGCTTCAGGGCCCAGAAATCAACACCGCAAAGTCTTCTTCTTTTGGCTTTCCCCTCTTCAGGGGTCGCCAGAGCAAGTTATCCTCCTCCATCTCACTCTGTCCTCACTCCAACTACCTCCATATCCCCTCTAACTGCATCCATATGTCTCATCTTTGTCTTTTTCATGGCAGCTGCATTTCTAACATTCATCTACCAGTATACCCACTGTCCCTCCTCTGGACATGTCCAAACCATCTCAGTCTGGTCTCTCTAACTTTATCTCCCAGTTGTTCAACCTGTGCTGTACCTCTGATGATCTCATTCCTAATCTTATCCATCCTTGTCACTCCTAAGAAGAACCTCAACATCTTCATTTCTGCCACTTCCAGTTCTTTCTCCAGTCTTTTGTCAATGCCACTGGTCTGTTGACCGCTGGTCAACACCTCAAAGTAAGCATCCCTTTTTAAATTATTTTAGACATTCACATTGACTAAGATCTCGCTACATAATGTTTGTTTGAGCATTTAGGTTTGATGGAACAGCTGAAATTTGATACCACTCAGTGTGAACAATTTTGTAAAAGGAGCATTAATGCTTCTTTACATTCTTTCGTTATGGGTTAGGCCTTGTCTACATTGAAACACAACTTTTTCAAAGCAATCCTTAGATTTGTTCTTTCTAAAAACATTTCTGTAAATAATCTTTTTTTTCCATCCCCCCACCCAAATAACCCAAAACTCTGAAGTAACCATGTCAGGTAATGAAAAGGACATTGCTTTTGTATGGAAAAAATAAAAAAAATTACTCATGTTTTTATACTATGTTAAACTTTTGTAAATCTACAGGTACTAGCAAGAAAAAAAAACCCCACCAAATCATGTTTAAATTGAGTCTGTTAAACTGTGCGTGAAGATGTGAGACGGTTTGCAGCAGATAAGAGTGGGGAGGAAGTTCTCCTTGGGAGCTGGTGGATATTCTTGTTGATTTTCAGAGGCTTCACTCATTTTGCAGTAAAAGTGATCTTGCAATTCTTGTAATATTATAATACATCTTTGTCAAAACTTCAACCCTGTGTAATTATTATAAGTGATTTATTCTATCACTTTTTAAAAGGTTGAATGTTGTCTAAAAAATGTGAGGGTGGAGTTTTAAGATTTTTTTCCACACTTGTATTTACGGTATTTCATTTTAGTTTTGGGGCTCCTAAAACTCAAATTTTGCATGAATGCAAGACTGAAAGGTTGAAAAAATAATTGTGCAAAAAGTTTCCCAATGTAAACAGCACCTTGTGTAATGGGGTGACAAAACATATTTTCATATTTTATTCAAACTAACCAACCAAATGGATTAAATTATGTATTTCATATTTTAAACTAAACTTGTTTGTTGATGGTTTTATAATGCAATTTGAGCCTATTGTACAATATGTTTATATTACTTGTTCTAAAAGTCATTCCAGTTTGACACTAGATCAGCCTTGTTTAGTATCTGTTCATACCAACAAACATCTTTCAGACAGCTCTAATTTGTCCTAATAATCACGTTTCAATATTGATGTGTTTTCAGAATCGCAAAAACTTTCACATTTTGTTAATTATAAGACTTATACATGAATTTTCACACATGCAAGAAGTTATAAGTGACAGAATAGTGATTTTTATTTGCTTTTAGAAGTTCATAGTCCTTCACACCCCAGTTTACTGATCAAGGCTCACATCCCACACACTTCAACTCTTCCATGAAACTTGTGCCATTGATTGCCCCTGATTTCAGAATTATTCACCGATTTATAACCGAGTCAGACTAATGTGAAAATCAAAACTGACAGACACGTTTGCATTGAATTGAATGCTGATTAGGCCACACGGCCTACTCTGAGCATTTCAGAGAAATAATAATAATAAAATAGCAATATATGAATGAAACCACAGACGTGTTTTACATTTGGTTTTATGCTCAAATGGGAGCTCTAATGCGTCTGTATTTCAGTCTCTGGGAACAAAAAATTGTATTGCATCACTTGAAGCACAAGTAACGGGTCTGGAGTGTCGATTTCTGTTCTGCATGAGTGTGTCGAGACATGGGGCACCTGGCTCCTGCTACCTGAGAAAAATGACTCTCATCTTCCATTCTGTTGGACTTTCACCCACCCGTACTCCCTTCACCCCACCTTTTCATTTTCAATTATGCGTTGGAATATGAATCGTTAATAGGGTGATAATTGTGCTAGCATATTTGCTGTCACCCACCATTAGCCCAGATTAATTAGCCCATTTAGTTTAGCTTAAGACAGTGTCTGGCTGAGGAATGGGGGCACTGATGGAAGGCAGATAGAAAGTAGAATCAGCACAATCTGTTCTGTATTACTGTGCCATCTTGTTTCTGCTTTCCCTCTCTCACTTTGTTTTTTCTCTCTCTTTGCTGCTTTTACTTTCTTTTTAGTAGTCTGTCAATCTGAGCACATCTGCACTGTTTTTGCCAACATTTTGTTTCTATATGACACTTTTCAGGAGTTACTTTTGCAGCTGAGTCATGCAGTTAAAACTCCTGTAAAAATCTACACTTTGCAGTTTCCAAATGACTTAACTTTCTGGTGATATATTTTCTTGACAACATTGAAATAAATATACATTAACTGTCTCAAATGATGTATAAAAATCCACTCCAGTGTCATTGTGCGTTGATGATAGTAGGGTAGCACACAGGTTAGCGTGCCAGAGGGCAGAGTTTTGCGTTTCTGCACAGAACTCCACTACAACGGCACAGGACGAAATTATTTGTGGTTTTTAAACCAATACACTGAACACAACTAAAGTAGCAATAAGCTCGATCACCAACATGTAGGAAAGTGTTCATAGTTGTCCAGAATCTTTAGGAACCTCATGTTTCAATTTGATTACTACTGTATTTTCGGACTATAAGGCGCACCAGATTATAAGGTGCAATATCAATGAACTGGGCTGTTTTCATACATAAGGCGCATTAAGCGAAACAAAACGGTCAGATAGGTCAAATTTATATATATTTATATATATATATATATATATATATATATATATATATATATATATACATACACCGTAGTCCCTCGTTTATCGCGGTGGGAGCCGTACCCTGAAGACCCGCGATAAGTGAAAAACCGTGAAGCAGGAATAGTAGTACAAGTAGTAATTAGTAGTTTATGTTTTTATTTATATAGATATATATATAAAAAGATGTTTTAAACCCTTCCCACACTCTTGCAATATTCTAAACAATGTTTCTAAACTCTAAACGCTCTAAAAGAGCACAGAATGTCATGATTTCAGCTCCCTGCCTCCTCTGTTTTGCCACCTGCAAGCACTCTTGGCCACGCCCACTTCTCCACTCTGTACGGACCATATAACGGTCAGCTGCAGCAGGAACTTTATCCTGCAGTATGGGCTGCACAAACGTGCAGGAACAGCTTGTTCTGCAGCTGTGCAGCAGGTGCTAAATAATTTGAAATCATTTATTTTAAATAAAAATTCCATGCCAATCGTTTGGCTCATCCATCAATCAGCCAATTGTGTGTCATGTCCCATCTTATTTGGAAAAACCGCGATAGAGCGAGTCCACGTTAAACGAACCGCAAAGTCGCAAGGGACTACTGTACATGTATTAGAAACTTTTTTGTGTGATTCTGTGCATTTCAATCAGTTTGAACATATCGGCAAACTAAAAATTGTTTGAAATCAAAGATTAAAAGTTCATACATCAAGATATGTCTGGTCAAAGGTGCTTAACAGTTCAGATTACAGAAATTGATTTGATGTGATGCTTTAATAAAGCTTCACACCAATATTCAACTCATTCAACCTTGGGTAAGTCACATGTGTGCAGCAGTGGAGCGACTTGGCCATGTCACTTGCTGTATGTCTCTCAGCAGGCGCTGGGAAATGAGGTCTAATCGCAGGGATATTAAAGTCACAATAGACTGCTCCTGCTATTAAGGCCTGTCAGCCCTGGCCCTTTCCCTCACCTTGATATCTCTCCGTCTCTGAATATTTATATGCTTACATCGGGACCTACTTACACACTGCGATGTGTGCATGTTTCTTTTTGTGTGCGGGGCGGTGAGTCAAGCAAGAAATTCATCATCGCTGTAGCTACTCGGGCTTTTCGAATATGTTTATGTGCTTGTGTGTCACTCTGTCGGTCCTAACGCGGCCCGCCTTTCTGTCCTCCAATCCCCAGGTGCAGTGGGGGCGAAGCTGCTTTTGGGTCAAAACAAACCTATCATCATGGATCTTGATGAGGAGGAGAATATGAGTGAGTCCACACCGATTTGTCTTTTTACTGATTGGTCAACATATTTTAATGTCTGCCTGTACTTTCCCTCATCTCTATCTGCCTGCTTCTTTAATCTTCTGTCTTTTTCTGTTGTGTAATCAGTGTGAACAGATTTACCTCACCCGCATTTAATCAAACCAAAACATGCAGTTTTAGATTAAAATATAACATTTAAACATTATAGAATGTATGCAATATATAGAAAAACAGTTTTTTTTATCAATATACACCACAAAGGAGCTGATTATTTGCTCTCTTTTAACAAAAAGACACAAAATACATCCGGAAGCAAATATGTTGTATTAATTTGAGCAAAATATTTTAGAGTAGAACGAATCATTTCATCTGAGTTGCTCCAGGTCATATTGCACATATTCTCTCTACCTCCATTTCCCTCAGCTCCAGCTCGTTGAACTTTAATTAGAAGTTTTTGCTTGAACTCGGGAACAAGGTTTCCCTCGTACACCCACGACAAATCTGCAATCACGTTCAAAGTTAGCTGCCGTCGCAGCCATGCCCTAACTTTACAAAGGAAAAAGTTCTGATCGTAGTGTCATGCCTGGTGTTTTTGATTTGTAGAAAAGTATCTTATGTCAAACAGGCAATTACAAAATAGCTTCTGTTGACTTTTTATTTTGTTCTTTTTACTGCCAAATATATACATAAAATACATATTTGAAGTTGAAACTGTCCTATTTCACACAATCCTCCATCTTTAATAACAAGAGCACACTAGAGGCAAAACAAGACGGATATTGTTAGCACGTGGAAATCCAAACAGATCATGAAACTTTTTTTAATCAAATGAAACAACCTAAATTAAAACCACAACTAACAAGTTGTGCTATCAAATAAATGTCAATCAAGGGCTTTACTTTTAAACTTTCACATGCAGCTTTAAATCTATATCGGAATGTTTTTTAAGTAATAAATGTATTTTTTTTTTAAATGCTGATTACACAAATCCAAGCATGATGCTGACCACAGCCACGCCATAAGAAGCGCATGGGTCTTGCTCTGTGCATTTTGTCATCTTATTTAGTCCAAAATTCTTACATGTACATAGATATTTTCTAATAAACAAATCAGGGTGAATCTATTATAGATTTTGAAAAGTTGTGTTCAGTATATATATTTTTTGAATGAAGAAAGTGGACTCCAGTTTTTTCTCTGTACCATTTTCTTCACTTTTTTGCGCAGCATGCTATAGATGTCATTATTTACTCTTTTATTTGTTTGTTTGTATTTTTATTTTTTTGTGAATACAACTGTTAAGGAGAGAAATTGATATTTACTTAACATTTAATGCAAAACCTTAAATGCAAGGCATGCAAACCTTCCATGCAATTTACCTTTTGCACAGAGAAAAATGTGAGCCACAGTAGCATATGTTTTATATTTTCAACATTACACCTTTATTTTGAGTCAATGTCTGTGTAGTTCACACCAATATGATGGTTAAAGGCAACTATTTTACAGTTATGTTGCTCCCCTTTTTTACTTTATTTTGCAAAGCACAATACCAATATTTTACTGTAAATGCATGCAAACTATAACAAACTGCATGGTTTTAAGACATAAATTGAGAAAAAAAAAAAACATTTGTGATCCTTAAAAATAACAAAATTATTGTTGCCTCAAGACGTCAATGGCAATGTGCAGATGGTAACGGCATGTCAGTACATTTGATCAACACTGTGCTCTCTGACAAAGCTCTATGGGGAGGGAACTCAGAGGGGCAGGGTCTTATGAAAGGCACCATGTTTTGATTCAAGCTTTTTATTATTATTTTAAATATGGCAGTCATTAAAAAAAAAAAGTAACTGGAGTAAACTACATTTTATTCTCCACCGTGTCATCATCGAGCCTGTAGGATCCTGCAGTAGGTGGAGTCTTCTCCTTCTGCCTCTTTGATGTACTCTCCTGTTTGCCTGGTCCTCAGCTCCTCCCCCTGCACTACTCCCCCGCTCCCCTGCACTCCCTCAACCCGACCTACAACCCCACTCATGCACACTGCGGCCTCTCTTTCTCTTGAGTACCGCAAGGAGTAACCTATCAAGCCTTTGCTGAAGGATGTTATAAATGAAAATTTTTCCCAACATTCCATTCACTTTGCAAACTGGAATCAGTGATATGTGTTCCCCAAGTTCAGTTTATCCATTCATGACGGTTCTTGATTTTTTTAAATAATAGTTCAAGCTGTTGATGATTAGGTGAAAAAGGAACCACTTGTTGGATGTGTGTTTGTGTGTGTGTGTGTGTGTCAGGGCTAACATGTGCTTTCATTTGTTTTCATTAGTTTTAGGACTTGTAACTGTGGACAACATTGTTTCACTAAATATTTCAACACTTTTTTTTTAACCCAAACTTCACTTTTTCAATTACAATTGAATTTTAAATCTGTTGAGTTTTTTTATAGTTAGGTAATTTGAAATAGATGTGTTAGTATTCCTTCGTATTTTCAAATGTTATTGTGTTAATTTTTAAGTAAAATGATCTTGTTTTAATTAAGGAACACAAATCATTGGTTCAGTTCCAAAGTGTGATAAAGGAATCTATAAATTTTGCATTTACAAGATCCTGCAACGAAGGCGTTGTAAGTTACTCTTTCTGGACACCGCAGGTTCAAGCAGCACTGACGTTAAGGAAAACCGAAACCTGGGCAACGTGTCCTGCAAAGATGGGATGGGAGTCGCTGATCAGCTCCCCAATGGAAGTGGCCCTGGCAATCGAAAGCGCCCCTTAGAGGAGGGTAACAATGGCCAAGCCCATTCCAAGTTCAGAGCCAAGAAGCGCAAGAAAGCACCTGGGCCTGTGCTGCCCAAGAATGCTCTGATGCAGCTGAATGAAATCAAGCCAGGTCTACAGTACAAACTGCTGTCTCAGACAGGACCAGTCCATGCACCAGTTTTTGTTATGACAGTAGAGGTTAATGGTCAGGTGTTTGAGGGCATGGGCCCAACCAAGAAGAAGGCTAAACTGAATGCAGCTGAGAAAGCACTACGTTCCTTTGTCCAGTTCCCCAATGCCTCTGAGGCTCACCTGGCCATGGGCCGAACCCTAACGGTGAACACAGACTTTACATCTGACCAAGCCGACTTTCCAGACATGCTTTTCAATGGCTTTGAGACACCAGCTGTATCTGAAGAATCCTTCTATCTAGGTTCCAATGGTACAAATTCACTAGGGGAGTACCCATTGCCTACACCACCTGGCAGCAACCTTGCCCAGGCCCCGTTGCCCCCTCCATCTGCATTCAGCTCACCATCCTCTGGCAAAAACCCAGTCATGATCCTCAATGAGCTCAGACCAGGCCTCAAATACGAGTTTGTCTCAGAAAGCGGTGAGAGTCATGCCAAGAATTTTGTGATGTCAGTAACAGTGGATGCACAGACATTTGAAGGCTCAGGACGCAACAAGAAGCTGGCCAAAGCTCGGGCAGCACAAGCTGCACTATCTGCTCTGTTCAACATGCAACTTGACCAGACACCATCCCGGCAACCTATACCAAGAGAAGGGTTGCAGCTTCACCTACCCCAGGTAAGACATTTTTAATTTAAATATTCTTCTATTTTAGTGTTTGTGACCTTGAATATGTATCAGGATCACAACCTCACCTGCCAGCAAGTTATTATTTTGACCTTTACATTTGAAACCACTAATTGGTCAAATGAATGACATGACCAGAATCACTCTAATTAGAAAGCAGGAAACAAGTTTAAATAAAGGTTGTATTATTTCAATAACTAAGAATACCAAGCTGCAATTCTCCATGTGAATGAATGAACGTATTTGAAAAATGACTTTTCATGGTACTTGAAAGCAAGACTTTTCTATAACAGAATCTTTTTGAATGGCCAGTAACTCTAGAAATTATATAAGGATGCAAGCAATGACTTTGGATTTATAAGAGTTTAACAGAAAAAAAGTATTAATCATTCAGGTTTTTATATGTACAACACAAAGCAGTAACTTTGATGCCCGGTTAAGTTCATCTGCTTTGACTCACAGATAAAGCTGGTTGTCATCAGCATAAAAACGAAAATTTATGCAACATTCCCTAATGATTGCCTACAAATTCATGCATAGATGAAATAAAACTGGACTTGGCACAGAACACTGAGAAGCACCCTCAATGAATAGTAAACGTTGAAGATGCATTAACGCATACAATTTTAAATTAGTCAAATAGATGTGTCTTAAGCAAAGCAGTACTCTTGATCTTAATTATATTTTCATTTCTTTGTAATATTTTGTGGTGTCAAATGTATATCCAGATCTTGGTGTTCTTTTGTCTTTTTGATAAAACACAAAAGTTCTCAGATGTTTTGTCCATTGATGAATACAGTTGCCAGGAATGAATAGTTATTGATCTAATAACATTGTTGTTGTACGCTCTGATATAGATTGTTGCCAGAACCGTAAAGAAAAGCATTCCTTTGGAGGTGTTCATTAGATTAAAACAGGTTTATTCAAAACTGCTCCGCCTGTCAAACTGTACTGCTCCACAAGGTTATCTTTAAGACTTTATTCACATCAGGTTAGCAGAGACTAAAGGATGTTACATGACTTGTTAGAGATGACTGCCTGTGTGTGAAGAGAGATAACGCGGTCGGCAAAGCTAATCAGCTTGACACATTGTCAACAGTCCATCCCTAAATCATCTTCTCCGCTCTTTGCTCATTCTCTCCTCTTGTCATCCGATTCATTCAACAAGCAGCCCATTTCTAATTACTCTATTAATTTTTGTTACTTTATATTTAATTTCTGCAGCCTGTTTCCATATGGCGCACCACTTATGGGAAAATGGACATGCTGCTTTGGCACTTTAACTTAAATTTTGACAATGTATTTGCCGTTTGTTTTTGTTTTTTTCATACCAACCAAAATAACACCACAAAATTTACATTTTGATTTAAGAAACTTGGGCTTACACCAGAAAAAACAAGAGAGGTTTAAAACAAAAGTATTTTGTGCATTACAAGGACATTTTTTATATATATATAATTTGGTACTCCTAAAGAATAAAGATGAAAGTCCATAGCAATCAAATCTCAGATGATCTGGCTTTAAGTGGGTGTCTCTGAAGTAGCAGGGAGGTAATAGTAGACTGATTTCTTTAATTTGTGTTCATCCAGCCATCATCTCTTCTTGCGCTTGTCGTCATTTTCCATCCAATTAGCAGTGGTTAAAGAGCCAGTTTTGAGAGCTGGTTATTTAAGAACAAAATATGTGTAAAGTTCATTTGAAGTTCCCTAAGCTTATTTTATCTTTAGCTGTATTTGTAAACTTGGTGGGAAATCAGACGAGCACTTGGTTCCCATGTGGCACTCTGGCTTACTTGTTTGTTTTTCCTCTGATTTACTGTCAGAAGGGAGATCTTGCACTAGAACTGCCAAAATTCTAACAGCTTGGTTTTAAAGACCGTTATCTTTACTTCAGGGGGTCAACCCAGTTTCACTTGTTGCTGTTTCAACGCTTGTTTGATGCTAAATACGATCACTGTGACGGGTAGATAGTGCACTGGGTGAGGATAACATCAGACGTGTGTTAAAAGCTGACATATCTGAGGCAAGATTTAGTTTGTGTGGCTTTGTGCACGTGTTCTCCTGCACGCTTGTCTGTGTGTGCATGTTTCCAGGTTCTGGCTGATGCCGTCTCTCGCCTGGTGGTTGATAAGTTCAGTGAGCTGACAGACAACTTCACCTCCCCCCATGCCCGTCGAAAAGTCCTGGCAGGAGTCGTGATGACGACAGGTAACAATGGAGAAGGTGGTCCATGCATTTATATTTGCACTCTTTATGAAGTAAGCTTTAGATAGTTGTCAGGGAAAATAGAGACTCTGCAGATACACAACCTTTAAATCTTTAAATCAATACATCAGCTTTATTTTTATTAGACGTAATTTTAAACAAGTATGTGATCAGCCCATTTATTTATACCATTTTTATTTATACTTAGGGTAAAGACTAGGGATGCACGATATTGGATTTTTCACCGATATGCCAATATGTTAAATCTTATTTGGCTGATAACAGATACCAATACTGATATTTTTTTCTAGAGCTACTTACAGAGATTACATAGCTTTCTCTGTTGTGGAATTAAAATACTACATTATTCTGCATGGTCTTTGTCAGTTTGGCTGCTACCAAATGCAGATGCCAAAAAATGGACTGAAAATGATGCAACACTTCAACTTGGATTATGTTTAATGTTAAATTTATTCAGGACATTTACTCTCTCTAACACAATGTCAATGCTCAAACAGTACAAATGTGTAAATTTTCACAAATCTAAGCTCAACCTGTTCACATGTGACAAGTGAAAAGCACATAAGTTGTAGTGCATTAATAGATATACTCGACAGTTTCTTAAATTAAAAATAAACTTAAAACAGAAGCCTTTTATATCGGTGAGGTATTTTGATGGACTTGCCGATGTCCGATATTTAACTTTATCGCTAATATTGGGCGTTACCATGCCGATAATATCGTGCACCCCTAATAAAGACACTTTTTTTTGTGGTGTGGGGTTGGGGGCTGTTAACTGCTGTAACTTTTATTTTGAAGAAAAGCCTAACTAATTCTTAATTTTGACTATGGATTTTTTTTTTTTTAAGACAAACTCAACTTTAGTTGTCTATACAATTTTTTATGAGAGATCTTTGGCACTAACTGTAGTTTGTTCTGATTGGGTGATTGCTGTTTCTGTAGGGCGGGCTTTAGGTGGACTTGCCAGTCGTGTGATTTGGTTCTGTTATATACTCTGCTTCACAACAAAGTATTGAACGACAACAGATACAATATACCCTATATATGATCCTATGACCTCTTTGCTTTGACACATTGTCAACAAACTAAACCTTCAAAATCTGAGATTGTCAATTCGCCCACCCCTAGTTATGATTCTGACCCTTAATTTGGTCCTTTAAAATCTACTGCTCCACCCCTGACAGTAGAATGGTAAACCTTAACTGGTTTAAGCTCCAAACTTGGTTAAACTTAGTTAGAATATTTGCCTGGCCACAATTGTGCTTTTATTCCTTCAAATTTTATTACATAAAATGCATTTTGTCGCACATAATGGTGGCTTTACAGTCAGGTTTTTGTCAAAATACATTATTCTTCTCATCGAAATAGAACTTCAAAGTGACTGTTGGCACATTTAACTGGAACATTTTGTTACTCTCCATTCACTCACATCATCATCGGGAGGGAATTTTTTAATGGCAAAGATAAAACTCAAATGTGCTATTATGTTGTTCACCAGAGCAACAGTTAAGTAAACACATTCAGCCATTACCTGTAGAGTGCAGTGGAACGTTGAGCAGCTGAGGTGACAAATATTTCTCTTAAAAGCTGGTTTATGCCAAAAATTCACCTGAAGCAAAGACGGTTGTGAGGGTTTTTTTACATTCCGACTTAGTATAACATTTAGTCTTTTTATTTTTTCTAAAGAAAACCAAAATACCATCTTAGCTTTAAAATTGTGATTAGGCTGATGGAATCTCATTGAAGAACGGGGGACATGAGGTAAAACTTAGGAGATTTAAATTGAATGCAATACTGCAGCCTTAAGTAAGGTTGAGCCTCATCAGGTGGATGGCCGACAGCTGATGATAATTGACAGCCATCTTGGAGACGTAGCCGCAGCCAGTGGTACTCTTACAAGCCATTTGTGTCATTAATAGCCACTTTTACCAATTACATGACACAACGGCATGCCATACTACTCAAGCGCCAACTAACAGCTGAAAATGGTAGTGTTCAATATCTTCAGTCAAAATGAATGAGAATGGTCATATCTCAGCCAAAAATTGGTTTATAAATATGGGGGGAAATCCATAAATACGTCGTTTTGGCATATAAGTCGCAGGGCATGCAAATTATGCAAAAAAATGACTTATAGAGCAAAAAATACAGTACACAGACGTACAGAAGTATACACGCATGGAGCCCAGTCACGAGAATCTGCCACGGGCAGTGTGCAAGGCTTGTTTTTATATGCTTATCAGCTCTCCCAGCTCACAAACTGGTGTGGTTGAACCAGCTGCGCAGGCAGTATCAAATCAGCTCCTCACGCAGCTCTCTCTGAGAGAGAAAAGAACTCTCTGGTAACTCAAACACATGGTTCATGGGCAGTTAACAATCTCAGCCATAGTAGTTAAAAACATCCATAAACCTTGACCAAAATTCCCAAACATTTATACTAACGGATGAGCCAACAGTGGAAGAATGAGCTAGTTTCCTGCCGTTTACTTTAATATTTTCAGTCCTGTTTGAATGCTGATCACAGTGATCAGCAGGTACAACTTTCAGCTGAACTTTGGTGGTCAGTTTGCTTATTTTATGGATCGTTAGGGTTTCTTTTATCATATCCCTATCCCGTTCATAACTGTGTTTTATATTTGAATTGCCAGTTAGTTCCAACAGCCGCAGCCCAGTCAAACTGTCTTTGAGAACCAATTCCAGCACTGGACTCTCTTTTGTGGAAAAGCTCTATTTGTCGTGTTTGAGCTAGAGAAGAGTACAGTGATGTAAAGACATCTGATATTTACGGCGCCCAGTAGCCGCCTTGTTCAAAACGATCTCACATACTGGTTTTATGAGTGATTAGGGACCACAGGAATAAAGCAGTCTACTGAATCATCCCCTGTCTTTCCTTGGTGTCACTTTGCCTTCAGCACGGGGGCATCGTTAAGACAAGTGTGTATTTACCAGTGCTATGTCTTGTCATATTTGTACCTCCCAACAGGGACAGATGTGAAGGAAGCGCAGGTTATTTGCGTCTCCACGGGAACCAAATGCATCAACGGTGAGTACATGAGCGACCGCGGCCTGGCACTCAATGACTGCCACGCTGAGATAATCGCCCGACGCTCGCTCATCAGGTACCTCTACACCCAGCTGGAGTTCTTTCTCAGGTCAGTGGATGGTGACAGATCAGCTTTGTTAGATCAGTTTATTCTGTTTGTTGTGTGGGAAGTTAAAAAATGCTGCAAATGATCTTCGTTCCATTTTAATTCCGTTTGTGCCAAATCAAAGCTTCAATGATAAACTTTGTCAAAAACTAATCATTATTTTCTGTTTTATTACCAGTTTGTCTAATTGTACAATTGATTTGTTGTCATAGCGGCAACAAAGAGGACTACCAGAAGTCGATCTTTGTCGTGTGCGACAAGGGAGGCTACATGTTAAAGGATAACGTTCAGTTCCACCTCTACATCAGCACCTCGCCCTGCGGAGACGCCAGGATTTTCTCTCCACACGAAGCCGGAGTGGAAGGTACCGCTTCACGCCAGCCCTGGGTTTTTCTCCTCCGCTCCGCAGACATGTTTTTAATTTAGCTTCCTCTCTGCTCAGAACTCCGTTTCAGCTACTGTTTATTTTTATTTAATTAAATTTGGAGGTTTTCCTCATATGCTTGGTTTCATTTAATTAGATTTTTATTCCACTGTCCAAATACGCATTTCAGACACATTTAAACAAGGCACTAGTAATTAGAGTGTTTTTCATTCTCTGTTTTCCTCTATCAGTCTTTCCCCTAGCCAGCCCACCCGCTCTGTCCGTCTGATTAACCTCCCTCTTACTCTTGTCAGACTGCTTTCCATCGCACATGGCAGACTGAATAGAAAACAGCCACATTCAATTAGTCACTGAATAGATGGCGTCTGCTGGTGGAACATCAGAAAACTTTGATAACATAATGTGGGAGCTGTTTTTTGCTTTCTTCATTTGGAGTCACTGTCTCTGTCAGTAAACACTCCAATTTACCATTTAGTGCAATCTGTTTACCATCCACCATGTCCACAATGGAACAAAAGGCAGATTGTGTGTTAGAATAAGAGCTTCAAAAATAGATTCTGTGTTTCTGCAGCTGATCAAACTGATGTGCGAGTTGTGATTAATACTTTTTTCGCCGTTCCTCTAAGCTGTAGGGTTTGGATTTATTGCTTTGATTGACGGGAAGGAGATTTTATAAAACAGTGTTTAAAATGTTAAAAGCAGCACATTATTTTAAATGAACAAAAAGGATATTTTTTAACTCCTTGAAATGTGTAAAACTTAACAAAAAAAAAATAAACCTAGACACAGGAACTTAACATGAAAGTTGAAGTCTTCACAACATGTAGGCTGGCTGAGAAATGAGTTTAATTCCATATTTACAAAATGGAAAGGAAGATCCTCATGTCAATTCTTTATCATTTTGTTTTTTTGGAATATATTAAAAGTGAGATGACCAGAGCTCTTCTTCTCTTTCATGTCTTAACAGAGTTTAGCTACTCTGCAGATTGTCAGTCAGTTTATTATCTAAAATTTTTATTGTTATGTAAATATGTCTTTTTTTATATACCTGTTTGCTGAAATAAGTAACGACTTTGCTGAACCATTTAAAACAAGCCATAAATAATTATTTATTTTTTTTGGTGCTGCAGGAGTAATTTAAAAAAAAATAAAAAAAGCCTTATCAGTTTTGTTTGTGAGACACCTGCAGAGAGCCAAAATATCTTAAAAACTTCTGCCTTTCTGCACCCGCTTTCTACCATTTCTCTTATTTTTTCTGACATAAATATTGACAGTTCTGAAATTTATTTCCAATTTTACATTAAGCAACATAATTATAAAAACAATCTGTTGTTAATTAACTTTTATTTTTGTTGGGACAATCCACTTCATTTCAGAATCCTACTTGTTGTTTTTAGCCTTTTGTCACTCCTTTCACAACTTGTGAATATTTAGATTGAGTTAAAATTATAATTGGATTCTGTTTTTTATTTTCTTTTAATTGCACCTCATTTTATAAGAAATGTAATTTAAAGTTGTATTTTCATTCTGACTGGGAAACAAATTGCACATTAGGATGTCACCAAGTTACTTGAATCAGTCACACATATTTGCACGATAAAGGCGAGTTAGTCGCTTCTTCTTTAAACGTGGATCCTTGTGTGACGTCTCGCTCAGATCAGGGAGACAGACATCCGAACCGCAAAGCAAGAGGTCAGCTGAGGACCAAAATTGAGTCAGGAGAGGGCACCATCCCCGTGAGGTCCAGCAACACCATCCAGACCTGGGACGGGGTTCTTCAAGGAGAGAGGCTGCTCACCATGTCCTGCAGTGACAAGATTGCAAGGTAATGGGTTTAATGGGCCGCACAGTTTGAGCTGTTTCTGATTCAAATCATTATTAATTTTATTTAATTTTGTTTTGTATTCAACCTTCACCAGCTTCCACCAAAAGGATGGAGAACTAAATTTAAAAATTTACAAATTGTCAGATCAAATTACATAAAATATTTATTTTATGTTTAAAAAGACTTGTTTTATTGCAAGTCTTAAAAGTATGATTTAAATATAAAAGAAATGCAATGAACAAAAAAAGTTGGTATTTTATATTTTGTAAAATTAACAGTCCTCATTTTATACTTTACCATTTTTCTTGGACTGGCTGATTTTAAATTTACTTCAGGTGACATTATGGTTATTTGTTTCTGTACAGTACCCAGAGGTGACTTCTGTTGTGATTTGGGGCTATATAAATAAACTGAACTGAAATGAAAATAAAAGTCAATGCTCAATAATCCAGTTATACAATCCAACAATTTTCAGTCAGGTCATCTGGACAGTTGCTTTTTTGTTATTTATTTTTTCTCTGAAACGTTTCACTTTCCATCCGGAAGTCTTCATCAGTCAAGGAAACACACAGCACAAAATTGATTCTTCCCCCAAACAGCTTACTCCAAAGTGGAACAAACCAGTTACGTTGGTTCTAAGATGGTGTCTCTGGCACGTCCCCTTCTCCGTATCAATTTAGTGTTGTGTGTTTCCTTGACTGATGAAGCCTTCCAGATGGAAGGTGAAATGTTTCAGCAACAACAACAAAAAAAAGAAACAGTCCAGATGACCTGACTGAAAATTGTTGGATTGTATACCTGGATTATTGAGCATGGACTTTTTTGGTTTTGAACCAGTTTGACATGACTGTGGACGAGGAAGAGGGCCAGCAACAGAGGAGGGGGCGTGCCAAAGACACCATCTTAGCACCAACATAACTGGTTTGTTCCACTTTGGAGTAAACTGTTTGGGAGAAGAATCAGTTTTGTGTTGTGTGTTTCCTTGACTGATGAAGCCTTCTGGATTGAAGGTGAAAGGTTTCAGCAAAAACCAAAAAGAAACTGTCCAGATGTCCTGACTGAAACTTGTTGAATTGAAATGAATTGTATTTAGTTAGTTGCAGTTCCCAGTTTTTGTCACTAGATGTCACTGTATCCAACACGCAGGACTTTTGCTTGGTAAATTATATTAGAAGTCCTATAATAGCCGTATAATAGTTTTTTTTTTCCCCTCAGGTTTCCTATTGACAACTGATTTTCATAATTCTTTATTAAAACTTTATTATTCTTTATTTCTTTGTTTAAGCTTAAATGAGATACTGGTATTTAAACACATTTTTACCGTACACAGGTTTGTTTTTTACTTTTATTTAAATATGTACCAGTCTTGACTGACTGACTGCTTTAAAAATAAATCTGACAACTTGTCCACCGCTCGCTGAGCTCTCATGACGGAAACGGGAGGGGAAAGACCTCTTCTGTTTCTCCGCTTCATGTTCGGATGTGACTTTAAAACGAGATCTCGGTATTTAAACGCATATTTACCGACACAGAAAAATGTCACACAGAACGAATTTTAAAACTTTTATTAAAACATATACCATACTTTGACTGCTTTTGCGTCTCCAATCCATCGACACGTTGACGCAGCTTACGGGCTGCAGCTGTTTCCTTCTCGACAGCCGATCACTTTTAACATGAAAGCTGGTTAAAATATTCTCCTTGCATTTTCCATTGTCGCTGCAAATCAACAGGTCTGTGCATGAAGTGCAAAATACTATAAACAACACGGGAACAATCTGAAGAAATTAATTCATGTCTATCTTGGGGGATGGTCCTCTAGAGTACCTCATTGGTCATTCAGGTTAGACTTCTGGTCACATGATGAAATAGTGGGTGGAGTTATGGTTGAGTATTTGAAACCATGAGCAAAAGGCCTTGTACATCTGATTACCTGAGGGCATTCTTTCTGTGTCACAAATGCTGGGAGCCATAAGCACACAGCTCTGGCAAAGGAAAATGTTAGTTAGCGGCAGGAAGCTACTGAGAGACAACAGGAAGTCTTTCAAAATAAAATGTAAAAATATAAATTATGAAAAAAAAAACATAAATAAGACATTCTTGCATATAAACCACGGGGTACAAAATGTGAGAAAAAAGTAGCGGCTTGTACACCGGAAATTAATGTATTTTCTTCTTTTTTTTCCCTTTTTATTAAAATGTTATTTCTAAAGTAAAGATCTCTTGAGAAACCCTCACCTTCACACCTCAGCATTAATTCATGTTTAGGTGCTGGTTTCATGTTTTATTTTCCTGTCACTATAATCCACAGCGTAGCGCCTCTATCATAGCTATCCATTACTTCATTTCAAGTCTGTGATTTTCTTGTGGTGAGTTTTCAAGGTGAATTGATGGATACATTGTCCCTGGAAACATTTCTCTCTGGCAGATCATTGCGTCTTTAGTCTCTGTCCGTGTTCAAGGCTGCGCTGTTCTTCCCTTGTGATGGATCGTAAAACTTCTACGTGACTGATGTAACTTGCTCTCTTTCTTCTGTGGCCAGAATAAATATCTGCCTGAGTGCGCAGTGATAAAATTTCACTAGTGCCAGTTTGAAAACTTGATTTTTATTGGCCTGAAATGAAGTTATCAACAATTCAAGCCCTATGTTTTAAGAGGAACTCCTAATAAGCTTTTTAATGATGCCAGACATCATACGAAGGGATTTCCCAGAGCTGCTGCAGCCAGCAGAGAAATAATGGGTTGTAAGACAAAGGATTATTTCTGAAGATGTACCTGTTGGAAAACTTTGACTTCAAGGCAGAGTAGAAAGACTAAATGCAATTTTAATAATCGGGCAATAAATATTCATTTAAACAGACAAATCACGCCAGAGACGTTGCGTACAATGCTTTTTCATAGCAGACAGAAAGAATTTAAACAAGCTTGAATATATCAAAAGTTCATGCTCAATAATCTAGGTAGAAAATTCAACAATGTTCAATCAGATCATCTGGGCGGTTTCTTCTTTAGTTAAGACGTTTCGTCCTTCATCCAAAGGACTTCATCAGTCCAAAGAGCCACAAACAAACTCAGTCCCCCACGCAGCACAGTCCCATAGAGGACCAACCAGTTTGCTGATGATAAGATGGTTTCTGGGGCCCGCCCGCTCCCCCATCAACTCCTCTGAGGCAGCCATAGCCAAAGTGGTTCAAAACATCAAAAGTAAAAAAAAAAAAAAAAAAAACGTCCAGATGACCTGACTGAACGTTGTTGGATTTTCTACCTGAATTATTGAGCATGAACTTTGATGTTTTGAACCACTTTGGCTATGGCTGCCTCAGAGGAGTCGACGGGGGAGAGGGCGGATTCTAGAAACCATTTTATCACCAGAAAACTGGTTGGTCCACTATGTGACTGTTCTGCTCATAGCTCCTCAAACTGATGAAGTCCTTTGGATGAAGGACAAAACATCTCAACAAAAAAGTAATCTTCCAGATGACGTAACTGAACTTTTTTGGAAGCTTGAATATAACTGACTTTTTTTTGCCTCTTAAAGTTTGATCTTTGCCCTTTGTGTTAGAGTTGCATTCGGACCTAAAAGATCCAACCTAGCCCGGACCTAACCCATCACTTCTTTTTCCGAGCCCAACCCGACCCTACCAATTAACTGTAATTAGAAGCCTGAACCCAAAGAAATAAATAAATTAATTAAGCTTTTACTGCTTTTGTAAGTAAATCAGTTTGACATTATAGTTTTAAAAATGTATTTCAAAGAAAGGAAGATATAAGATTCCTTGTTTATTAGCTTGTTATTAACATGCCACCAAATGATATTAATATACAAAATGAATAGGCTAAAAAAAAAAATCAAGATGAAGGTAATGTCTTTTTTTTTTACCTCTTTCAACCAGCCGGTCAGCGGACGCGCGCGGCTGATGATCCCATTGTCCATCTGAAGCTTAACTGGACTTTTTTTTATTTTTTTTTACCTCTTTCAACTGACTGATCGGACCTGAGCATGCACCTGACCTGACACACATCAGCAGGTTTCACTGTGCTGGCTTTGTAGAGTGAGTTCTCCCGTTTTTAGCTTTTGTTTAGTACTTTCCAGCTCCATTATGTCGCTTGTTGTGGGTCAATTGCAAATCCTCAGATGTGTGATAAGAGCAAAGGGTGGGCGGGGCCACATGCACAATTGTTGCGCAATGCACCAGCGCTACTCTCTCTTCACAGTCTGATTAACTTCTGCACTCTTTCTTTCTTTCTCATCCTCAGCATATAAACTTACTGCCTCCTCTACAAGTAAACACAATTGTATATTGTACATTCTTATTTAGTTTTCTTTGTGCTGTATGATTTGTAAAACCGCATCAAAAGCCAGAGACTGACCCGGCCCGCCCATCAAGCACATAATTTTGGTCCGACATGGCCCGAATTTCGGATCGGGTTGGGCTGGGGGCTCGGCCCAAAAATCGCAGCTCTTCTTTATGTTCCCCAAGGCTTCAGTATGAATGAACAGTTTGCTTCTGGTTATTTTCTGTGATTTGAATAAACTCATCAGAAACGGGCTCCTATTGGTTCCTGTTTTATGTCGTGTCTTCAAGATCTGATCAGTTGTGCTTTCAGGCTTTTTCTGAATTGCGGTAGTTTGTGTGTGTGTTCGGGTGTGTCTCTCTGTGTAAGTGTAAAGCCTTACATTAGATGGAGAAAAACATACAGCGAGGTTTGACAGGAACAAAATTGAATGCCTCTAAAAACATAACTCAAATGAGCGTGCTCGCCTGTTTGTGGGGGGGAAATGTGCGTCCTTCAGGAGGTATTCAGGTGGATTTGTGTCACCATGTTTTTGTGTTAAATGTGTGTGTGTGTTTCAGAATAATACAGAGCTGTTTGAGCTGAATTTGTGCTTTACTGCCCGCAGCTAAGAAGTTAAAGATTTCATTTTTCCTTCCCCCAGTTTCACGCTCACTTTCTCACACATACGGGATTGTGTTTGAAAACGGCAAGCCCTTCGTGTGACACATGCTGCTTCTTCTTTTTTGGGGGGGTGGGGGGGTGTCCTATTTAATTATTTTATTCTCTCTTTAAATTTGTTGGACTTAAAGAAGGAATCGAAGCATTTACGCTAGTCAGACTCTCATAGATGTTTTATCTGTTCATTTTCTTTATGACTAACTGAATAAACACCTGACATAAATTAATTTAATGGATTTACCTTTACCTGTTCTGGCAAAGCTTCAAACACCTTCTTCTTACTAGAGTCATACTGACTGCAAGTTTCTAGGTTCTGGTTTTTGTAAACTTGCCAATTTTAGCTTTGATTTAATCAGATTTTTGTCTAAATATAATTTAAATTGTTCAAAACACTTTAGATCTGGTTGAAGAAAAAACATTTACAATTAAAGCCTTAAATGACTGTGATATTTGGAGATATTTGATTATACCTTAACCCTCATAGAATCCAACAATGTTCAATCAAGTCATCTGGACGGTTTATTTATTTGCCGAGATGTTTCGTCCATCATCCAAAGGACTTCCTCAAAATGGATGAAATCCTTGGATGAAGGATGAAACGTCTCAGCAAAAAAAGAAATCATCCAGATGACCTGACTGAACATTGTTCGATTTTATACCTGGATTACTGAGCATGAACTTTGGTGTTTTGAACCACTTTGGCATGACTGTCGCAGAGGAGTTGACGAGGGAAAGGGCGGGCCCCAAAGGTCATCTTAGCACCAGCAAACTGGTTTGCTCCAGTATGGAGTATGCCCTTTGTGGGAATCAGTTTGGTTTAGTGGCTCCTCGGATTGAAGAAGTCCTTTGGATGAAGGACAAAACGTCTCAGCAACAAAAGAAACCATCCAGATGACCTGATTGAACATTGTTGGATTTTATACCTGGATTATTGAGCATGGACTTTGGTGTTTTGAACCTCTTTGGCATGACTGCCTCAGAGAATGTATTGGAAATGACTTATCTGCTGCCACACCAAATTTTAGCACAGTATTTGTAACTTTGATTGAGTTATAGCCATTTTTTGTTAGCTTAGGTTCCTTAGCTATAGTGGTCTTCTTGAATTGAGTTTACTCCAGTTGCAGATGTGCATCCAGTGAATACATTGAGTTTCAAAATAATCCTTCAACTGGTTTATGATATTTACTCATGGTGCATACAAATGAACACACACAGAGGTGGCCAACACCTGCCTTTGTTGTTTAATGCCCAATTATAATAATACAATTTTAACACGGGTTACAAAACCGTCTATTTTGTCATTATGACATCTATAAAGAGAATGCTTCCAGGTACTTGTAGAGAGGTGTTTGATCACAATATATGTTCTCTAAAGTACAGGTAGTTAGCGTTTACTGTATTTTCCGCGGCAAACATCACACCGCCCTATAAGTCGCATCAGTCCAAACATGTCTAATAAAGTGGCAAAATCCATAAATATGTCGCTTCGCCATATACGTCGTATCTATTATGCATCACTGTTGACGCGTCGCGTTTGTTACGCATCACTGCTGACATCCCAGAAATGTGTACCGGTGTTGTGCCAAAAATCGATTGGCTGCCAAATGGCTTCAGGATCCTGCACGGGAGGACTTTAACAAGAATTTAACCAGGTTAACATTTAAAAACAATTATTTGTTTGCTCAAAATTATAGCAAAGGTGTGTCTCAGTCTAACTTTTCCTTAATAAATGCACTTTGATGGTCAAATCAGCTGCATTTTCAAAAGCCGATATGCGGAAACATGAACGCTCAGAGAGCGACTTGCTGTCCATTTCTTCGAAATTTAACGAGATAACCACCTAAAAACTATTATTTGTTTGCTTGACTTTATAATAACAGTGTGACTTAGTTGAATTTTTCTTAATAAATGCACTTCAGTGGTCAAATCAGCTGCATTTCGCCGGGTCGGCGCAGTGAAATGCAGTTGATTTGTCTGTTGCTCCAGGCAGACGACGGTGGCAGGCAATGGCAATCCGATTGTCATTAATAGCTACTTTTACCTATTACATGATACAACGGCATGCCATACTGCTCAAGTGCCATCTAGTGGCTGAAAATGGTAGTGTTCAATATTTTCAGTCAGAATGAATATAAACGGTCATATCTCAGCCAAAAATTGGTTTATAAATATGGAAATCCATAAATACGTTGCTTCGGCATATAAGTCGCAGGGCATGTAAATTATGCAAAAAATGTGACTTATATAGCTAAAAATATGGTAAATTTGTTGGTGTTCAATAAAACGTAGAAATGAATCGGTAAATAAAAACGTTTTAAAACTCCAGCAGTGTTGGACGTCATATGTACATTTTAGTCATTGTAGCTAATAAATTATTTAGTCTTTGTTCATGCTGTATCCATCTATACTTCCTTTAGATATCCAAATAGGATTTACTTTAAAAAAGATTTTTATATGATTTATCCTCTTTTCTAAACAGTCGTATCCTCTTTGAGACGGATTAGTGTTCAGTCACTGGTTTAGTTTTGATTTTCAGAAAAGTCCAGATTTTCTGATGCGTGTTCTGCCTGCAGGTGGAATGTGGTGGGCATCCAGGGCTCGCTGATGAGCTACTTCACCGAGCCCATCTACTTCTCCAGCATCATCCTGGGCAGCCTTTACCATGCCGACCACCTCTCCAGGGCCATGTACCAGCGCATCGCCGACATCGAGGACCTGCCGCAGCAGTTCAACCTCAACAGGCCTCTGCTCAGCGGTGAGAGCTCTCCCCGGTGTGAACAAAACAGGGAAAAACATGAAATATTTTGAATTCCTGCTAATATTTTTTAGTCATATTATAATCTTCAAGTTATAAAGACCTGGTCACCTTTTTCGACCTTCATCCAGACATCAAGGAGGAAGGCTTTAAGATTATTTTCGCCTCCCTGGTCAGTTCAGCAGGAAAGGAGAACAGAAGGAGCTTCCCTCCTTTGTTTGATCAGAGCTGACATTTATCTTCTTCTTGTGGAATTTGAATAGCTTTATCGTCTTGTATACGTTTTCAGCAGAGGCTTGACCTTTTCAAAAGGCTATGTAGACCAGAGTTCATGTATTGTTTTTGTTCTTTCTTTTTCTAACTTTCTTTATTTAGATTCAGAACAATGTGCTTTTTGTTCTCTTCTTGCTTATTAGAAGATTAATAGTTTTTAAAATTATTTTAATACAAGGATAATTAATTAACTCATCAGTAATGTTGCTTCTGGTGTCAGACTGGCAAAGTCTGAAACTTTTTATTCTTTTTAAAGTTAGCTTAATAGTTTAGTCATATGACTTTGTTTTGTGTTCAAATAAACCATTTATACATATTTTTTCTTAGTTTTTACCATAAATAATAATGCCTTGCATTTATTAGGCTAAAAAAGTTTTACTAAATCCAATCTGTGTGTCTGTTATCAAACAGTGTCATGAACCAGAACGAAACATTCAGAAGCAATTAATGACTGTTCAATTACAACTACCTTTTGAAGTCAACTTGATTTAAGATTGCTGCCCAAAAGTCCTTCAAACACACAACTAACTGCTGCAACTCACTCAGTTTTACAGATTTTGGGTTAAACTTTAGTGTGGTAGTAGCTGAGCATCCCAACACATACTTAATGAGAATTGGTTCTTAATGGACCCACTGGGAACAGCAACATGTTGGTAATTCAGGGAACATCAATAACGGTCAACATTTTTTTAATATCTTTTTGAAAGTGTAAAACAGGAGTCATAGTGTGTCATTTTAGTTTTTAATATTGTTTCACATTAGAATATCACGACTTTTATTGCAATGAAGTAAATCTTGACATTTCATTTCTTTGAATTAGACTTTTGGGTTCTGTTTATTGTGTGACTGTTAATGAAGCATTCACACTATTGTTTGTGATCCATTTTTCTTCCGTATGTTTTTCTGCATCTTTCTCGTTCCACAATTTTTGTGCTATTTCAACAATTCATAAATCAAAATGTTCAGCTCGTTCAGGAGAACTGTGCTGTGACTTTTGGTATTGGTGCAACTTTAACTTTTTGAAATATTTTTAGCCTTTTCTGCCATTTTTTCTTATAGAAAATGAATTGAGCTCATTTTACATCCTTCAAGTCTTTAGATTTGTTTACAACCTTTTACTGCTCCTTTCACATTTTGTTTTGCTTCAGCTTCCTTGTGCAAATTTAAACTTTTTTCCAGCTACTTTCAAATTTTTTCAGATAATTTCATCTTTTTTCAGATAATTTCAACTTTTTTGTGCTCATTTCTGATTCTTTTAGCAAACATGTTCTTTCTGCTTTCTTCTGCTTTCTTCTGCTAATTTAAGCTTGTTCTACCTTTTTAGCTACCTTTTTAGCATTTTTTAGCTATTGTCAGCTGTTTTCAGATGAATTCAAAATTTTCATAATTTCTGTTACTTTCAGACTAATTAACTTATTTTTGCTAATTTCAGTTTGTTTCGCTCTTTGCAACTTTATTATGCTTTTTTCAGCTATTTCTGCTATTGCAGCTACTATTTAGCTGTTTTTCAGATAATCTTACCTTTTTCAGGTAATTCTACATTTTTTTAGCTCATTTCAGCTCTTTCTGCTTTCTTCTAAGTTTAAGCTTCTTTCTGCCTTTCAGCTAGTGATGTTCGATACCAGGTTTTCTGGTATCGATACCGATACCGCCATTCTGGGCAAATGCACCTAAGTAAACCTTAAAAAAGCAGTGTATTTCAAATCAAAGCTGCATAAAGAACAGGAGACATCAAAGTAACAATTTATTTTAAACTCTGAAGTCTAATAATAGCTAAGTGTATACAGCAACAGAAAAATCAGATACAATCATATAAAGTATGTGAAAATGGTGTTTCAAACACTAAAAAAAGAAAATAAGGAAAATAATAATAATACAGCAGTCCCTCGTTTATAACGGGTGTTAGGTTCCAGCCTGCCCCGTGATAAGTGAAAAACCGTGAAGTAGGGACGCTGTTTATTTGAGTATTTATTGTACTTTTTAAATAAAATATTGTTGAATTATCAAAAATTACTATAAAATGAAAATATTTATATTTTGGGTCAAAAGCTCTCACAAATCCTTGGAAACCTTGTTCTTCCACTATGGACAGAGGCTGGAGATCCTTCATAATCATCTCCCCCAGGCATCTCGTGAGTGTTGCTGCTCTTGGAGAATCGTCTTTAAACAAATATATATATATATAAATATAAATCACAGGAAAAAACAAATTGTAGGCTACTATGCACTGAATGCCTAATCTTAATTAGATTAATCTATGTATGTAGTCCCTCCAAATAGTCTACAAATAGGGGCTACAAACACTTCCTCTTTCATAATACTGGGTGACTCAATTTGAAATTGCCAGTTAATTTTTTTAATTAATTAAATAAACGCCACAATAATTGCACAATAATGGAACTAATATAAATTCAAATTGTAAATAGCTGTTTTTAAGACTAATTTTTTTTATCCATATTTTCTACTACTGTATATATTTTCAGAGTTCACCCAGCAAAGCTGTTTTATCACCATTGCTCTGTATAATCTGATGACACCTGATCCATGGAATCCACTTTAAATTATCAATTTTTTAGGAAACCTTACCTGAATAAATATTTTTGCCGGTGTGAGATTATCTCAGTGATAAACATATTACTCCAAACTGAACTCATGCAAACTATTTGTTTGAGCATTAATTTATTATGTTACTTATTTAATAACCATGTGCCACAGCTCTTTACAGTTTTTCCACAAACTTCACAAACAGGTTCTTGGTTGTTTTTGGAGCTGAAATGTCTCCATACGTGACTTTGTGTACGCTCCGCCATTGTTTATGTTTACAGTCTGACTGACTGACCACGACGAGCAGCGTGCCGCTCCACTTACATGCATTACGCACCACTGGCGGAAGAAAAAGTAGTTCCCACCAACCACGTATCATTTAGACAAGATCTCAAGAGTTTTCTTTCCACTACCTTCCTGTTCATGACGTGCATTACCTGAAATGACTGAAGTATCAAAACTATCGATAGTTTGAGTTAAGAAACGATATTATTGATATTTTAATATTGAGCCGCACTTCACTACTTTCAGCTATATTTCAGCCTATTTTTATTGCTATTTTTAGCCTTTTTTATCTTAACAATTTTTTTGCCAATTTTTGATTATTTAAACCAGTTTTAGCAAATATGTTATTTTTCTGCTTTCCTCTGCTAATTTAGACTTGTTCTTCCATTTCAGCTACATTTCAGCATGTTTTTTTAGCTAATTTCAGCTGTTTTTCAGCGAGTTCTTCTGCATTAAGCATTCACACTGCATTTTTGCAGGAAATGCAGTTTCTCTAGTTGCATGCAATGCAGCAAAATAAACAGATTTAAAATGTAACAGATCATTGTAACATTTGGTCTATTTACACCTCCTGCCTCAACACAGAGCATTGAGACACTTCATAAACAAAGAAGGGACATTTTAACATGAATAAATGTCCAGATTTCACTTTGTGCACAGTCTTTATGAAAATCATTCATGTGAAGTGAGATCCTGTGGTCATTTTAGTTTCAATCCTTCAGCATGGCGGAAGGTGTCACTTTGTTTTCTGAAATTTACGCGCCGCTCCCCACCTCTCTCTCCTCGGCCGTGGTTGCTCTCTAAGTGGCAGGTAGAGGAGATAATAGTCTGAGGTTATTAACCTTTTCCGCTTTAGAGAGTTTTCAGCGGTGAAGGGCTGTGGCCTTAGAGCTGTGAGGATTTCATCCCCTGTAAATCATTTTCTGCCATAAGTGCTGCCAAATGGAACCATGGAGCTTAATACACTCTCGCACACACACGCACAAAAAAGGAACAGGACACATGGATTTATGGCATCCATATATCTCCCATTTCTGCTTGGGATACCGCAGAGGCCAAAGTTCTGTAGAGTTTTGGAGTTCAAGCTCTGTCCTCCGGGTGCATGGCATCATTTCTCTCCACCATATCAAATAAAAAACACAAAGAAAGAAAAAGCTGTGACAGGAGTGCGCCTTAAAGGAATAAATATTTTATTGAGGTAGTGGGAGTTTTAGAAGGTGCCACTAAAAACACTATAATTATCTCAATGCTAATTATCTGCCTAAACCCAGAGAGACAGGCTTGGGCCAGGGGACTGAAACTTTTATTATTTTAAAGAACAATGTTTGTCCCTTAGGTCACTAAATAAAATGTGTCCGGGGCTGCAAAACCTGCTACAACCATCATTTATCAACTGGTGGGCCCAATTCAAGTTTGTTGGAGGGGATTTTTTTTTTTCAGCCAAAAATAAAAACTTTTAACATTTAATGATATTTTTATATTTTAGGTAAAAAAAAATTTTTTATATATATTTATGTGAAGAAGAAAAAAAATATGAACCTTTTATACCTATTTTGATCAGAATTAAAGCGCTGAACGCTGCTGGTCTACGTTAGTCCTTTTATTTGTGGAAAAGAGCATAAAAGTTTAAAGTGTGTAAAGTTGAATTTCATGTTAGTTTTGGTCACAACTTCAAAGAGCCGCCGCGGTGGGAACAACGGGCCGCATGTGGTCCCAGAGCCGCAGTTTGCTAACCCCTCTGTTAGCACTCGGAAAGTGTGGCTCGAAATGACCTCCAGCAACTCCCTCACCACAGTTTTAGCTCATTGACTGTTAAACACCACATCTTCTAAAGTCAATTAGCTGTGGCATTGATAGATATAGGTTAACTTGAAAAATTAATTAGTTGTAGATTTACAATCAAGAAACTATTAAAATGTACTTAGTACCATTTCAGACTTTTATGGTAATATAGGTATGCACAATATTATCGGCATGGTATCAGTATCGGCCGTTATTAGCAATAAAGTTAAATATTGAACATCTGCCATTCCATCAAAATAACTCACGATGTAAAAGGCGCTGTTTATATATATGTATACATATACGTATATAAATATATATACACAAAAGGCACTGTTTTTGTATGACAACCCAGTGACGAGGACGCCTGCAGTGCCCGCAGAACGCCATGACGTCACGTGCGCCATTAAGTTTAGATTTGTGAAAATCTACAAATTTGCACTGTTCGACTGTTGTCGTGTTAGAGAGAGTAAATGGAGAGGTCATCGAGCTGAAAGAATTCGCTCAATCCCTGGCCCTGGTATGTTGCGCTAACACGTACCCCAGTTGGAAAGTCCCTCACAATATAAACTGGTGCAGTGGCAGCTGCTGGTCAAATAATGGAAGGAGCAGCGGACGTAGAGCTGACTGGTTATTGTAGAGATTCTGCATCCACTTTAACAACACTCACTTTTCCTCGGTGTGCACCTTCAGGTCGAGTTTTTAGCACTGACAAAAGTTTGCGGTTTAGTTTTTCAACAAATCTCTATTCTGTGATGTAAGAAAACTAATTTTGTTTTATTACAGTTGTTAAAAAAAAGAGGGTTAAAATATATGTGAAGTTTTCATAGTAGTACACGTCTGAAACAGATGGTAATACTGAATATAATTTGAAGAAGACTAAACAAATACCGCCCAGCCCTGCTTGGACCTTTTCATGACGTTTACGTCCTCCTCCAAAACAGATCAACTAAAGAGTCATAAATCATTTTGGTCTGTTTCAGGAATTAGCAACGCTGAGGCCAGACAGCCGGGCAAGGCACCAAACTTCAGCGTGAACTGGACGGTTGGCGACCAGGCCCTGGAAGTGATCAACGCCACCACAGGGAAGGACGACATGGGTCGCCCCTCACGACTCTGCAAACACGCCCTGTACAGCCGCTGGGTGCGCCTGCACTCCAAGGTACAGAGACGCCTCAACATCCCGCTGCCTGAAACACTCTATACAAAATATTAAGAAGCTGAGGTGGATTATAGAACAAAAGCTGAGAAAGACAAAACCTTGAGTTTCACCAAGCATCATGGCTAAAAGAATTCTGCTATTTTTATTTATGTCAACAATAAAATATTTAATTCAAATATTTGAAACTGACAGTGTATGGAGAAGCCCTAAGATTTATATTGTCTTAGTTTGGCTCTTCCACTCAGCACGTAGCTGCAGAAGCTTGAGAGAGGTGAACGTGCAGGTCCTAGAGCCTGCCGTGTTTGTTTAAAGTGCCACACTAACAGTTTAAAGTGGAGGAGATATTTTCTGTAATAATTTACCCAGACAGTGTCATGATACTGTTTTTGTTGTTGTTGTTGTATAGTTTTCCACTTGACTAGAAATAATTGAGAATTGCTTGAAAATTAACCTGATAAATAAAATATTTTGAGAGCTGAATGTTGCGTTAACTCCACACATCTTGTGTTTTTATACCACCGTCTGAGGCGGGTCGTGTTATGGTACAGTTTCTATTGTCCCTCCCATAACTTCTGATCTGCTCAAGATAATTTAACCAATCTTCATATAGATAAACGTCATCACTAAACAGGTTGTTGTGTATGCTCCCAGGTCAAGGTCACAAATTAAGGTCAAAGTTAAAACTATGTTCTTGCTTGTCTGGGTCATAACTTCTGATCTCTTCAAGATAATTTAATGAAACTTGATACACATGTGCATCATCATTAGACTACGTTAATACACTTTTCATAACATCAGTTTCAAGGTCAAAGTCATAGATAAAGGTCAAATGTTATACAAGGCCATTATAGATGTTATCTTTATAGATTGCTGTATAATAGTTTGTTGATGGGCGTATAAAGTGCTGAATGCAGTAATCTTGATCACGATTAGCTGAATTGTTTAAATCTGATTCCGTCTCTTCTTCCTCCTCAGTTTTCTTCCATCTTGCGGATCAAAATGCTGAAGCCGAGCTCGTACCATGAAGCCAAGCAGGCGGCCGCAGAGTACCACTCCGCTAAGAAGGCGCTGATCAAGGCCTTCCACAAGGCCGGCCTGGGGGCCTGGGTCAAAAAGCCCATCGAGCAAGACCAGTTCACCCTCAGCTCCTGAGAGTCCAGGGACGAAGGGGGGTTCCTAATGGATCTGCTCCTCCCTCCCTGACCCAGGCTTGAAAGCGAGAGAGCCCTTTACCACCAACCAGGCGTTCACGTCCATCCCCATGCGTCAGCACGAACTGATTCCCGCTCATCGCTCCCATTCCTCTGAGGACCTCAGCTTCACGTCTTTCACTCATCTTTAAATTTTCATTTGTCCTGGATGGTGTTTTTCATTGTTTGTGTTTTAAACTGGAATCAGTGGAGGGTTTTTTAATCATTATTATTCTTTAGCATTTCCTTTATATTTCCTAGAGAAATCTTGTTCCTCATTCTGTAGATGTGGAAACGGGTCCCATTCAAAAGTTTTGTCTTAAACAATGACTGTAGACATTTTAGGGTCAAATGTAGCCTAGATACAAGAGATTCTGTTGCCTAAAACAAACATTTATGGACCTTTTAGCTCAAATTAAAAGCAGTGATTTTTATTTAATTATGCTGAAATGTTAAGGATGTAAATCTAGTACAGAAAAGTGAAAATAGTTATTGAATCTAATGTTTTTAACTGACCCGTTCCTTACGACAAGACCATTTGTTTCCCTTGTATTAAAGGTGAAAACAAATTTTCGTCGCTTTGTTTGATTCACTGACTGGAAAAAATATGTAAGTTTAGTTGGTTGATTAATTTCTTTGTGTTGTTTTTTTACGTCTGTTCGTTCCCTTAAGCACTCGTTCTTCCTTCACCGTCATTTCATACTTGAACAGCAAGGGAGGATATGTGGACGACTCTTCCCCCCCCACGCCGCCTGGGTCTCGGGTCAAGCCTGGGGAGGCGATGCACGTTGTACTTTTCTTTGCCCTTGATTTTAAGCCATGGCTTTGCATGGAAACTGAACTGAGAGGCTTGTAGAGCAGAGGGCGGCGCGATGGAGAACTCCCATCAGCGAATGATTCTTTGTTTTTTTAATGAATGCCAGCAACTTTCTCCACAGGCAGCTTTGAATATTCGTCTCTATTTTCTAGATTTCTTGTGATTGATTGATTTTCGGGGGTGACGGAAGGGACACTTTTCTTTTTCTCCTTTTTTCGTAAAACAAGACTGAAGGACTGAGGAAAGCAGTGAAAATACAGCAAACCTCTCAGATCTTGTTTCCACCACAGCTGTCCGATCAGCTACTAATAGATGTCCTGTAGCACCACATGCAAAACCACATACCAAGTTGGGGACGCCACATTAATCCCTCGTGGCTGCGATGCAAACGTTATTTCGTTGTTGGTTTTTGTTGTTTTTGGATGTACCGTCGCAAACGGTGAAGTCGGTGAAGTCTCAGACGTCGTATGCTAATACCCGATGCCAGTAGTTTAAAACCAAATGTACAGTTTCACGGTGTGATGCTCATCCTCTTGTTAATTACACTCTCTGGTTAATGACGATATACAGTATTTCCAAGCAGCTGCAGTCAGTTCCTGTTTTTGCCGTAGGACAAAAAAAAAAAACATGGTGAATAAATGTGTGCTCAGGTGTCTTTAAGCATACTCTATTCAATTTTCACCAAAGATGAAGATGTCCACGTGTGTTTCTACCCCGGTGTTTTCTAATATCTTGCACATTAATTTGCCATCAGCCCTTTACCGTTGTTTTTGTATATCTGCACAATGTGCTTGTGTTTTGTACAAAAATGACGCATTCTCTTCCGTATTGGGGGGACATTGTCAAGCTTCTTTAGTGCACCTGTAGCTGTCAGTGGTCGTGTGTGTGCAAATTGTGAATCATCATTGCTGCACTCTTGTAGTTCTGTGTATATAAGAAGCAACAGATGTGGCAAAAATGTTCTCCCTTGTGAACCCAAACATCGTTGGCAAACTTTCTGACGCTGCTGTTCCTTAGTACGTATTCGTGGTTCTGTGTGACTCGCAGAGAAACCGAAACAACACTGCCGGGGTTAACGCGCTTCATCCTCATTCTAGCCAAACACACTAGGAACAGGACAAAAGCTAAATTGGTTTAACTCCCTCTCCACCAGCTGGCACTTGAGATGTCACTTACAGGACTGTACCACTTCTTTTTATGAGATTTTGTAGATTCAGAATAAAAAAAACATGAATATCCTAGAGATTCCTTTAACAGGGTTTCTGCAGGGTCTTAAAAATAATTTCAATTTTAGGCTTTTAAAGGTCTTAGATGCGTCCAGATGTTTTTATGTTATGTGCTTACCGGTAGTTACATCTTGAATTTGTACAGTGGCTCATTCCTTTGTTCTGTGTTGTAGTTTTGTCTGAGGATTTCAGGTGTTTTTAATCAAAGTCCCATCATGCATCGGTTCAGTCAGAAGGAATTTATTCACGAACATTCAGTTTATTTATATAGCGCCAAGTCAACAGAAGTTGTCAGCACTGTACAAAAACATTTTGCATCATAAAACCCAGTTAGTGAAGTTATCTATAAGGAAGCCAGCAGATGGTGTTAAATGAATTGGACTGAAATTGAGTGAAAGGCAATTAAATTTCAGAAAAACGTTAGTGACTTATCCAACAAAGTTCACAGGTCATCTGGACGGTTTCTTTTATTGCTGAGACGTTTCGTCCTTCATCCAAAGGACTTCTTCAGTCCGAGGAGCCCCATAAATACCACACTCCCATAGAGGGGGGAAAAAAACAGTTTGCTGGTGATAAGATGGTTTCTTATGTTTTTTGTGTGGGCCCCAGAAACCATCTCCACACCAGCAAACTTTTCTTCTATGGGAGTGTGGTATTGATGGGACTCCTCGAACTGAAGAAGTCCTTCGGATAAAGGACGGAGCGTCTCAGCAATTAAACCGTCCAGATGACCTGACTGAACTTTGTTGGATTTGTACCTGGATTATTGAGCATGAACTTTTGGTATTGGCGACTTGGTTTTTTTTTTTCTAGATCGTGTAGGTCGTCATTTACAGACTCAATGGCCTTAAAGGGTTTTAAAGTCTGGAACTTGAAGAAATCCTGTTTAAAACTTTCCAATTTGATGTTTGATGAGAAGAAAGTGACAGAAAACAGTGTCAGGCTGAAGTCATGAGCAATCCAGATTTCATCTTTATTGTAGGAGTCTGAGCGACGTTTGCTTTCTGCTCCGTCACTTGTTTCATTTCCTTTGGTCTCTTTACAAAGCTGTCTGAGGGTTTTAGTTTTATTTCTGAACGTAAAGTTTGCCTGCTTGGTTTTTTTTGTTTGTTTGTTTGTTTTTTGACTGCACTAACGATGTCAACTGATGATGTCATGATTTAAAAAAAAAAAGTTTCCATTAACGGTTTGGATTTTGCTTATGCTTAACCCTTTGCCAATCCTTGATGAGGGTCAGTGCATACAACCCTCCCTGGTGGTGCAGGGAGTGGATGGTGGTGGGGTGTGGGGGATCAATATTTTATTTGGCGAGTCCAGTTTCGGCAGATTTAGCCCGTTCTGGTCCTGCTCCGTTTCCCTTCTCCAGTTGTCCGAATGTGTGAACTCCACCACCAATGGAAAAAAAACACAAAAAAAAACAACCTTGCATGTTCCAACCGACACTGAAGCTGCACCTCGCATGATGACAAACTTTTAATGGACAATGTAGAAAAAAAAAAGCATCTATAGATAGATATACAAAAAAAAATCAACAGAAAACAATAAAAGAGTTCTTAGTTTACTTATGATCAGTGGTTGAGATTATTTCTTGTGTCTGTGACTCTTATTTCTCTGTGTGTTTGTGAAATTAGTAAAACAAAGATGGCTGCAGCTGGTTGGAGCTGCTCTGAGGCCTCGGGGTCATTTTGACCCAAGGAGGGTGAACCATATTTATTGTTCAAGGCATGTTGCTCTTCACTGAAGACTCATCAAGAGTTAAAAACAGAATTTTATTACAGGAATCAAAACAATGTGGTTTTTACGTTTCCATGCTAAAAATCACTTTTGTGTGTGTTAGCCTCACATCGATAATATATTTTAACAATTTTGTATCAATCAATGCATGACAGCCACTTTAAGCTGCAGGGCTTTAGTGTTAAACATAAAACATCTGTTATCCCAGGTGGAGTTAAAACCCGTCATACATTTTACTCGTGCAGATGTTTTTAAGGGTTGCACTTTTTGCGCTTTAGGGTTTTGGGTTGAGTTTTACTCCGTAATTAAATTGCAGGAATAGATATTACATTGCCTGCCGAATTTTAAAACTAAAATCGTGTTTTGGTGAGAAATGACAGCGTTGTAGTTGTTTGGAAAATAATCTTAATCTCACAAGATGTCATGCTCAGAGTATGTGTTGAGGATGATTCTCAGCTGTTACCACGACAAATTTTATCTTAATATCTATAAAACCTGCTGAGTTTTTGACTTTTTTCAGTGTACTAATCCCTTTCGTGTGGCGGACATCTTGAATTGGGTGAATCAGCTGAATGAAGACATCCATTTAATTATTTTCTGTTACAGTGGTTCATGAGATATTCTGCTAACACGACAGATAAATTCATGCACAGATACTGTGAAAACCATTGTTTAGTGGCTGGCAGTAAATGTCCCAAAGGACAAGATTCTGTCCCCCGCCCCCCAAAACTGAGTGATTGTGTTCCCTGTCTCCACCTCTGAACATTGTGGACTTTGTAAATATTAAAACTCCCCTCTGTGTGTACTTTACTTGAAAGCCTTTAAGCTGGAGTTAGCCGAGCGTAAAGCAGGAACGTCACTGACCTGTCACACTATTTGCAGATGATTTAACATTCAGCCGCTGTCGCTGCAACAAGACCCCCGCTTCAATTAGGCGGCCATGATTTTAACACCGTTTGAATATAATCTTCAAAGTACTCTACGCCCTTGTTTTGGTGTAAAGATGTTTTTTTTTTACTCGTGGTCGTGCTCCATGAGTTGTGGAGTACAGTAACTCGTTTTGCTGTGTGATGCACTTTTTACCACCTAAACTGTGAATGTGTTGGGTGTCAGTCAGACGGGAGGTGAGGCAGGATGAGTCGGATGGACATCTTACTGCTGCCTTTAATCTGTAGGTCCTACAGCGAGCTGAGGCAGGTCCTCGAGTTACAGCATCAAACAAATACTTCAGTATTTACTGAGTGGGTCATGATTGGTTGATTGGCATTAAGGAAAATAAGAACAACTAGAGAAATTTCATTTCCTGTGAAAATGCAGTGGGAATGCTTATTGCTGAAGAGCTTGTTGAAAGCTGAAATTAGCTTAAAAAAAAAACACATGCTAAAATGTAGCTGAAAAGAAATAACAAGCCTAAACTAGTAGAAGATTGCTGAAAGAACACATATTTGCTGAATTAGGTTTTAAATGGGCAGAAATTAGCACAAAGATTAGGAAATCAGCTAAAAATGCTAAAATTGGCACAAAAAATGAAACGACATCTAAGAAGTAGCTGAAAAGGCAGAAAGAAGCTTAACAAGAAGGAAGTGGAAAGAGCTGAAAATGAGCTTTAAAAAATGTGGACTTAGCTGAAAAAGCTAAATCTTGCATGAAAACAGCTTAACAGCAACTGAAATAGCAGAAAAAGCTGAAACTAGCAGAAAAAAGCTGAAATCAGCATAAAGAAAAGTATAGGCTGAAAGCAGGAATTACTGAGGAAAACTTGAA